GTATCTTTTGTGTACCTGTGACACATTTTGATGCAGCAGTTGTGCTCACATTTCATCCCGCTGTCTACTCACACACAGCACACTTCCCGAGTCTCCGTCTTCGAGAAGTGGAATCAACCTCACTCGGTTAATACTTGATAAATGTAAAGTCACAAATAGCATCCCGACCTAACCCCTCGTCATGCATAATCCACTTCTTCGTTTTATTCTAGGGATGCGGCACAAACCGCGGACTAGGAACGCGCACGCACAATAAAAACTAAGTGGCATGACATCGTTTCACAGGCACGCAAGAACAAGATTAAAGTGCACTGCTGTATGTGAGGGTGCTAAATACAAACATGCTATTCAGAAGTGTGCGGAGATAGCAAAATTGGTCATGATTGCTTTAGCTACTGAAAACCCTGGGATTTTTGGTAGCGTATTAGTAACGGATTGCTAACCATCGGTATGTGGCCAGCTTGTGCGTGTTAAATAATTCAATCATACCAGTACGCGTTTGCGATTCCATTTATTGAATGAAAACTAGGAGCAATTATTCCAGTCCAGATAGTACGTGATGGTGGATGTGCTGTATGATGATGCTGAAGGTGTTCAAAATGGTCCGGTTGAGCCGCATGCAGCTATGCATAATTGTTAACCGACAACACAGGCCGGTATACAAACACAAGATCCAAAACTCCTATAGGCACAGAGTGTACGCGCGAGTAATCACTTCAAAACGTGCCTCAGTAGAACGCGTGCAGAAAAAACAAGACGACCAGGCAATGTAAAAGTGGAAACATTTACAGGACCCCATATGACCGGTAAGTAACAGGGATCACAAATTTCAGGGAAAATGGGACCGTTGATCATGATGCACAGCTGGATGGTCCCAGATTTCAAAACCTGAGGGATTCCAGCTAAATCAGAAGCAACGTGGACAGTCTATAGGTACTGCACGTAATATTCTTTGCATTTTTTCCTTTTAATCTATGCTCACCTTCTGCTGCCTTTGGTAGCACATAACGTCAATAATGTGTGGATTCATGATGAAACGAATGCGAAAGATTTCCGGATGAAAGGTTCACAAGTAGTGAGAAAGGTCAGGGGAGGTGGAGGGTGGACAGTGGGAGAAGGCAGTCGAATGGCCTGACATACGCATATACACACGCGCACAATATTGAACTGCTTTGCATGAAACCAATCTGTCTGACTAGTGGCCTCGATAAGCAACAACAAAACAGCGCGGAACGAAGTAGAGAACAGGAAAGCCGAGTAGAACGCTATGAATAACAAACATAAATGGTCAAATGGTGATGCAGGTGCGGATGGCGAACCAAACATGATGAGCTAATTGAGAAAAAGACGCGATAGACAACAAGATGTAGCAGTGCAGGATAGTGCAGGATAAACAACGAGGCTTTTCCAAGTACGAAAAGAGAAATAGAACTGAGCACCATGAGGCTGTAGGTGAAAGAGAAAGAATCACACAAGATGACCGTCAAAAGAATAGAATACAAAGATGATGGTCCAACAAAACATACATTCAGAACAAGTTGTGCTTGGGAAAAGCGTAGTAGGAATAGGGGACGAAGTCATTATTGAACACAGGGATGATTAACTGAACGCACAAACGAATTGAAAGAGAACCACTCGTTAAGTCAAATAATTTTAGGAGTCAAATGAACGCCAAAGCTCAAAGCCAGAACAATTGGATGTGTACCGAAGTGTGTGAGTTTTACCTAACTGTAATGCACCTATGCCGGTAGAAAGGAACACATGGTATGCCTACACAAAAAAGATAAAAACAGAAAAAATGAAGAGGTTATTGGAATAACCGCTTAACCGTACGGACAGTTAGTGTNATGACCAAAACACGATTAATCTGGTGTGGGTGAACGGGCGAGAGAAGCTTAGGGTAGTGAGAACCACATCATTCAGCTAGCCGCGACTGTGGGCCACCAGCCACCAACTCCATTGCCTCGGTAAACTGACTGAATCACGGGACCGGGTTTAGAGAAACCGGTAGCAGGTGGGCTGGAGGCAGTGCCTAAATCAATAGCGAACGAATTATCGTTTTGTACGGGTTGCGCGTTGTTGGCTGGTGAGAATCTTGAAGTATTAGGATCTCGACCAGGAACGGTTGCTTGTGCACCGTTTGACATAGCTGTAACCATTGCCGCAGCCATAGCCGCTTGTGGTTGTTGATGTGGCGACTGTCGTTGAGCAGCAGTTGATCAGCGCCGTATTTCTGCGGTTGCTTGTAGTAAGACATAGCGAAATGACTTGGGATCAAAGTTGCTTGCTGTTACTGTTATTGCTGCAAAAAATGATGCCCATCGACCGAATTAGCAGAGCTGAAATTCGGTGTGGTTCCGGCAAGAGCACCTAAGCCCCCGGTGTGGAAAAGACCGGCCGGAAGTGGGAAATCCATGGTAGCTGCAGTACCATCGCGGCCATGAGACGAGATCGTGTGGTGGGCCGATACTGAATTGGGAGTAGAGAACATGGAGGCAGGGTGAAATGCCTGGCACGTCGCTCCCGGGAACGGGGCTCCAGTACCTGGAGGCAAGTGAGAACTATAGCTCCCTGTAGAGACAGCAGACATGGTACCACCTGCTGGTCCGTTGGCATTTCCGCCGGCATTTGCAGCAGCAGCCGGATGTTAACCGGCGTTCCCGGTGGCAACAGAGCAGTTGGATGAGAATGTTGAGACCTTGGTTGTGTCTGAAAAAAGGGCGTTGGAGGAGGCATACCTGGTGGAAGTTGCTGATCTACTCCAGTAAATAGCCTTTTGTGTCCAATGAAGCTATGGCCACCTCGATACATCAGTCGATTAGACCGTTGCGGCTGTTGCTGACCGATGGGATGAAATGCATCTGACGTGTATCCTCCGTTAGGCGGACAACGAGCGGTGCTGATAACAGCTAATGGAAGTGAACAATTACCCAGAAGACCAAAACCACCGCGGGGAATTTGCTGTTGTTGGTCATTGGAACTGTACTGACGTAGCTACTCCTCCGATTTCGGTGTTGCCGGCAATCAACACGGCCAACTGCGAGAAAAATGTAGGAGTGCAAAACGTCCCGAGCAAGAGTTTGAATTTGTTTGGGAAATGTTGGCGAAAACATCAAGGCTTGTCGCTGTCCAGCAGGGGCCATTAGATGCTGTTCTACAATGCGTCTTATTTGAGGTTCAAACCCCATATCCAACATCGGATCAGCTTCATCAAGGACAAGATACTTGACATGTTCCAAGATGACTTTACCCCGACTAATCATATCAACCAATCGGCCTGGGGTAGCAACCAAAATGTTGCAACCGTGCGATAGCTCCCGCCTTTGGGCGGTGATGGAAGCACCACCATACCTAACAGACGGACGCACCTCTGACCGATATGAAAATTTACGTGCTTCATCGTACATCTGGAACGATAACTCTCGATTTGATGCAAGCACCGAAGCAGTCGGTGAAGCCTCACCAGTGACGGACTGTGGAGGTTGTTCATCATCAAGACCTGTTTTCAGCAACCGGTTTAGAATCGGCAACAGAAACGCCGCCGTTTTACCGGATCCGGTTTGAGCGCATGCCATCAAATCACGCTTGGCTGCGATAATAAACAAGGCGTATTTCTGTACCGGAGTTGGATGGATGTACTGAGCACGTTCTACATTGCCTTTTATGGTCTGATGTAACTCAACTTCAGTAAAAGGTGTAATGGGCTTGACAGGATTCCAACTCGGTCCTGATTGAGTCACCGGGATGTTATCGTAAAGCTGGAAATTGAGACCGCGTTCTGGCTTTCCAAAATCTTTTGTTCCAATTTTTTCGATGTCTGTTGGGGCCAAGTTTGCTGTTCATTGTAGGACTTTCGACAAGATTTGTAACTAACATTATTTTGTTTTGCAAACCCGTTTCTCTGAATAGGGGGCGGTTTACCGAACAGACCAACAATTTTCAGTTTATTCACCAGTCCCCAGTGACTGACCACAGAATGTCCGTTCACAGCAATTACGCGGGGATCTACGCTAGAGTAGCGTCCAAAACGGGAACCACTGCGCTTGGGTCCAGCAGATAAAAGCTATCCAAACATTTTCAGCAACGGTGGATTGTTGGCATAGAAATATGATGGACCCGCAAGTTGTTCTGCTGTGTCACCCAAACTGAGGTAACCAAAATTTGTTTCTAAACTCTCCATGGACAAAACATTGGATTAACTAATTAACCGGTATCGTTGATGGTTTAGATCAACCACCAGTAGGCCGGTATGAACAACCTGAATATTTCTCTTCACATTGTATTTGAATCCTTTTGTGTTGAATTCTCCGATTCGCTTGATCTCTTTGTCTTTTCGACCTGCGTTTCTTCTTGAGCGCTTTTTCCGCTCAATTATAAATATATATCCTTTGGAGCACTTACGCTCTCATATGCTTTCGTAACATGCTGTTCTCCTCTTCCCTTC